AATCAAATGATCTCGAAGGCACTCGCGAGCACTAAAAGGCACTCAAAGACACTGAAGGGCACTAAAAGGCACTCAAGACACTCAAACTTCACTCCAGGCTCTCGTAGGCACTCGTGGGCAATCGTGAGCACTCGAGGGCAATCGTGGGCACTCGAAAGGCACTCGCGGGCTCTCATGGGCACTCGTGAGGTCTCGTGGGCACTCCTGGCTCTTGGGGACACTTGTGGGCTGTCAGAGGCACTCGCACGCACGCCTTGCCGCCTCGCACATCTCTGGTGCAATCGCAGCCTAATCGAATCTTGGATGTTACATTACAGGCGAATGCTCGCCGGCGAAGAAGGTAGTTTGTAATGTAATGCTCGCAAACGAATCTTGAATGTTACATTACAGGCAAATGTTTTCGGTGAACGAGCGCTCGGAGGGTATAAAAAATACACTTCTAAATTAGTAACTTTGTCATTACAAAGTAGTTTTAGTCTTATACAAATACTCCAATTTAAATTACTCATATTAATATATTTTTATATGTATAATCATATTTTTACTTAGTCGTATTAACATGTCGTAATAATATGCGTTTAAAACGTTCCGTTCGTTTACTACCTTTGTTTCTCTGGGTTTTTTATTGAGCAACGTGTGTAATATGAATATTACAAATATCAGAAATAGATTACAAAACGCCTCAACATTGAATACTTGAAACAAAGAACGCAAAACACACATACGGTCGACTATTAACATGACCCCGACAAAAACCCGTTCGCAGTCTCACGCCCACCGTGACGAGAACGAAGCGTACCGGGGTCGGGCGGGTCCGGCGGCAGCACGAAGACGGTCCGCTCGGCCTCGTTGCCGGTGTCGGCGCCCAGCAGCGGCTCGTCGGGCGCGTTGGCCACGCGCTCGATGCACTCGTCGAAGAACGACAGCCCCTGCTCCACGTCGCACACGAACGAGCGCTCCTCGATGAAGCGCGTGAACATCTGCGTGCGCATCACCAGCGCGTAGAAGCGCTGCTGCGCCTGCAACGGGGTTGGGCTGAGGTCGGGCCCGCTCGGCCGAGGTCGGGCCCGCTCGGCCGCGCTCGGGCCGGCGGCCGAGGACGACGACGACGAGACTCACCCTGTCCCTGGAGCGCAGGAAGGCCTCCATCTGGAACAGCGCGTGCGGGTCGGTGGTGCCCACGGTGGGCGCCTTGGTGATGGGCAGCAGGAAGTTGCGGTACCCCTGCAGCGTCACCGCCATGAAGCGCAGGAACGCTTCCTGGATGTTCAGCTCCAGGACTTGCTGAAACCGAAACGTTCCCCGTCAGTTTGACACCGCCTGCCCGCTGAGACTGAGCGGCGACGACGTTTTCTTCAAACCACATAGTCCGCCTTTTTTGAAATTGCGAGCAGCTAGTGATTGCAGTCAATAAATATCCTATCGATTATCGACTATATGTCGATCACGCTTATGCAATAAATAGCCGAACATGTTTCGTTTTAATCACCACCGACCCATTTTCTTCCATTATTCCACTACTGAGACCGGGGGGCGTACTATGAACTTTTAAAAAACCATGAAAGTTCCAGGCAATTCTTTTTACGCCCAAAAACTCACTGGATAAAATTCGTATTACGACACACATATTTTTCGCCGACATTTCGCTGGTTATTTTGTCTATGACTGGGACTTGGCTAGCTCGTGCTTTTTAGTGTAACTTTCAAAAACATGGATGAATATTTACCATTACGTTACGGCGTTATATTTGTCACTTAGTTTAAGAGAAACCATACCATACCATGCCATGATTATGTTGCGTCCATATTAAAATACGGTATAATATTCTGGGGCAACGCAACTAATGTGAACTCACTTCTTAAGGTTATTAAGATTAGAAGATATTATATGTTTGATTCTTTTTGTTTTGTTTTATGTATAAAAAATAAATAAAGATCCGTTTTATCCATAATATCCGGATATTCGGCTTTCAAAAATATTGATATTCGATTTATCCGGATCTTGGAAATGGACGGATAATGCACATTCGAATAAAAATTGATTTCGATACTAGAAGTCTACCACAAGGAAGACAATAACGCAATTAGTAATCAATAAGAACATTGAACATTCTCAATTCTGACATTTTTGGCAAAGTTTTACCTTCTTTCACAACCTATCGATAAAACTGTCGACAATAACTAGTTGACTATTTAAAATTTTATGAAAACAGGCAACCCCGTAAATGTAATTTTACTCCGTTTTCAAGAAAGACACACTATAGTCGAAAATAACATGAGTCAATCAATTCAATCTCTCGTCAAATAAGCCCAAATTTAATTTACTGCGGTACTGTTCAGCCGTAGAGGTTTGCGCACTCATTAGTGGCACATCAGCATCATAAAAATGAGATCCCGGTGCACGTCTAATAAAGGTTCAATTTCCAATGCTAGTTGGCGGAACACTATCCGCCTTAGCCTTAGAAAATGAAGGGTCTCGTAGGAGACAAAAGAAAAAACAACAAGAGCCTTCAAATGAACTTCTAGGGCGACGTGGCACTATGCTGGAATGCCCTGTGGTTTTTCTTGAGGATGTCAAATGACGTCAAGTTTTCAAATTACCAGCCTTTGTTCCCCGGTTACAATTGGAGGCCATTAAAAGCTTGAGTAAATAGAGTTTATTTAGACAAAGCGTATACCTCCGTCGCGTCGGTCACATCGTCACTTAGCGTCCGGTGAGATCGTAGCCAAGCGTGTGTCTATATTGTAAATAATAAGCTTACTTCTTTCTTTCTCCTCTGGAAATCTCTGTCTAAACTGGTCGTAGGTTCTCCGTTATACCTGCTGCTACTCGATTGGTGGACTGGAGACACTGAAACACGTGTACCAAAGCATACAATTTCGTCCCAATAAAATCAAAATCTATGAAAGAATTTATTAATCTATAAATTTTGACTCTATTTTTGACTGCAGATACTAATGTTGATGTTTTGAGTAAATGAAGTTATTATAAGCAAAATGTAAATTTATAATAATGTCCTTGTAGGACGGTATTTTATTTTTAAACATACAATAATTAACAATAATTATTTTACATATTGATATTACCACTCAGAAACAAAGATAATTGAAGTTTGTAGATCTGTGATACAGTGATTTATCACTGATCTACATACTTCAATTATCTTTGTAGTCAATTCACTAAGAAATAATATAATGTTTTTCAATTTAGAAAAAATTAACTTAAAGCATATAATCATTATATTGACATAATTATTATTATATCATTTAATATGTTCCCACATTATTTCACATAACTACATTAACTATGTTAAAATTACGTAGTACCAAACTTGTACTGGATATTTGCAATTTTTTGAAATGTCACATTTATTACTATTTGTAAAGATTCTTGTAATACAATATATTGTAAATAATAATGTAAAGTTTACAAGATAATAAATAAATCTAAATCTTTTGCTTAAACATGATTGGCTATGGAAATTAAACTGAAAAATATAAAGCAGTGGCGCCACGCCTGTTTGCCATTATACGTGGAGCGGAGTCTTTTAATGAATTATACGAGTGGATTTCAGTTACTTACATTACATAATAGTACTGATTTAAATATGTCATGGTCCAATCGACATATATTAATCGATTCTCGATTTCACTAATCGTATCCCATCACTGGTTCATGGTTCATTGGCCAATAACTGATGATGATGATGAAGAGGGTCACCACAATGATCAACGCGAAAAAATAAGAACGAAAAAGACATATGCGTTTTGTTTGAACTCGGACGACTTAGATCGACAACCTGGTTTCCTGCCGTATTTCTGCCTGCTGTCGGTACGCCGTCGGTGCCGACAACCGACGTGTGGTGATAAAAATTCAACTTCGAAAATTCGACAAGCCGATTCCACGTCGATAAGTGCGGTAACACCCTTAACTTGTCAGCCTTTACATGAGCTACGGAGAATTATATCAAAATTTAACTTAACACTATCAATAAAAAAGTTACTTGGTCTGATGTTGGCGTACAAAACTTCTAAAGTCTGCCGTAGCGCCTTCGATTGTCTCTTCGGCAACAGCTTTATCGATATGTGCTGTTGCGATTCGCAAATCTGTGAACAGTTACTTTCGTTATCATGTTGTCTTACAATTTAAAAAATAAAGTAAATAGATGCGCTCGTCGCCGTGAGACAAAAGTCGACAAGTCCCACGTGCCTGTAATTTCACCAGCACTTTTGCCCTTTAAAATCGGAACGCAATAACGCTCACGTTACTGCTTGGCGGCAGAAATAGGTAAGGTGGCAGTACTTCTCTGGACAAATTGTTTCACAAGGAGCCATTCAGAAAGGACGGGTAACGTGTAGAACGAATGTGGACAGAAACGCGGGCAGTGATAGCTCTCGGTCCGATCGGGAGTAATAATTTGAAGAGATTGGAGCAACGTGGCAAAAAGCTTCACCGTGACGACGTTGGTGTCCAGGTCCACGCACGTGACGTCCGGCGGGGGCTCGTACAGGTCGAAGAAGCGCGAGTCCACACCGATGAGGTACGGCAGCGGCGCGTGCAGCACCTCGGCCAGGCCTGCGGACGGACGAGAGACGCGTCACTACGGCCGCGGCGCCCGGCGGCCCCGTCGGTCGGCGGTACGCACCTAGCGGGCACAGCGGGATGTACGGGCACTGCCACTTGAACGGGAACAGCAGGCTCGACACCGCCTCGGAGACCGCCGTCAGCGTGTCGGGCCTGGAACCACGAACCACTGACGTCTTTCAGTGCGCTCGACGCGAGGGACAGAGCCGTCGCGCCCGCACCCTACCGCAGGGAGTGGATGAGGATCTTCTGCTCGGTGATGGCCAGCGCCAGCAACAGCAGGCAGTTGTCGGGCCCCAGGTTCAGCAGCAGCTGGCGGAAGCCGGCGGCGCTGCGGACCAGCGGCTGGTCGTCTCGCCGGGTCAGTATCACGCGCTCCATGGGGTTGGACGCCGACAGCTGCCGAAGGGATAGGCGATCGGTGCTTTACTCGGCGCCCTTTCTTTAATCTTGGACGCTTCATATTAACAATCTCCTAATTTGAGACACATCAGCTTAGTACGAGGAGAAAAACGCAAAATCTGTCCCTTCTCTACTAACTACGGAGCTTCTCAAAGCGTGAAATGACAGAAGGAAAAATTCGTACAGTCGCCATTTTTTTTTTTCATTGCTATCACAATTAACACCAATTTCGTAGTGATACAAAGGGTTATAGCATTCGGCAATTTCACTCAGTCATTTTCGTCATTACCTTTTCATATAGTTGTTAAAGTTTATTAAATTATGTAGTAAGAATAATGGTATTTGACCATTTATTACTCTGCAAAATTGTAAAATTTTATTGACGTAAAAGCACATTTGGAGATATGTTTTTATAAGAATTTAACATTACCCGTGTTTACAAACTACAGAAATTGTCTTCATCTAACATTTGTGTATACGACAAAAATTAAAGTGATAGCAATTTGGCCGGATACCGGATATCCGGCGAACTGTGGGCCGGATAGCCGGATATCCGGCCGCCGGATATCTGACCTACTGCCGTAAACGTACCGCGACCGATTTACAGCACCCGTCGCAGTCATTGATTAATTAATTAATGATTGCACTTTCACATTGACAAACATCACACACATCATCATCATCACAAACATGTTATGTACTAACAGTGAAAAAAATCGCCAATTTGGCAATATTTTAATATCAGTGCTGTTTGTTTTTTGTGCCGATGGCAAATTACTCGCGGCGGAGAAAGAAAAAAGCAATTACATCATTCTTTGGCCGTATTAAAATTTGTATTTGTTTTAAGTATAAGCACTTGATTTCATTAATTTGTTTATGATTTAACTAATTCTAAGCCTTGATACCAGATTTGCCAAAAAAAACTAACCTACTTACACGTTTCATTATTGTAGGTAGGTACACATTGTATTTGAAGACAGTTCAAATCGATCGTGATCGCGGTCCTTTCAAACAAGTAGTACCTACTTAAAATTTAACAAAGTTTGCAAGAATTTATGGTGAAAAGTTGTCCTCTAAAGCTGGTCTCGTTTATGAAAAGAATAGAACAAACTTTTACCACTTAATGCAGAAAAACTGGTCTTCATCCACCATAATTTGCCTTTATTGAAATTTGAGTACAGACACCGTAATTTACTTTCATAGTTCTTTCAGTTACAAGTAATAAACAGATTGTCAACGATCCTGTAGTTGCTGTTTATTCAATCACTATCATCTTTAATCAATAAATAAGTTTATTTGGCGTACTGATTTATGAATTTTTCTCAGTTGTAAACATCCGGTATCTGGCCAGATATTGTTCTACTATCCGGTATCCGGTCGGATAGTAAAAATAGGCCGGATAACGGATAGTTACCATATCCGTTTCATCTCTAGTATACGACGATTTGAATCTAGTAATGCTCATGATAGCGCGCGTAGAGCTAGCTCGTAGTGACGTTACTTCCGAGAGAAAATTAACAAGTCGGAGGAGTGGTATCTTTCGTCCTCGGGCTCTCGCTAAGAATGCAGCGGGATCGTCGGCCACATCAATGTCGAAACTTACCAAATACAAACATTAGCAAGTACCTGCAGCAGGAGCCTCGGCTCGGGAAAAGGGACTTCCTCCAAGAGATGCGTAATATACCTCTCGATGGGTATTGTCAACGGTTTCGCGCTCCACGACATTTCCTGCAGAGGAACACAACACATGAAGGCCGGCACAGACACGCGAGCAGCGAAGGAGGCCGAGCGTCACCACGTCACCAGGATGTACAGCAGCCAGCGCTCGAAGGCGTCGCTGAAGGGCCAGCGGGAGAGCAGGCAGACGCACTTGTTGGCGTGCAGCGCGTGCTCGGCCTGCGACTCGCCCTGGCGCCAGCCCAGCAGCTCGGCGTGCGCCGGCGCCAGCTGCGCGTGCGGGAACGGCTCGTAGAAGCTCACCGCCGACCCGTACACCTGCAAGGCGCGACTCAGCACTGGGCGGCGGCGGCTGCGGCCGCGGCCGGCGCCCGCGCACCTTCACGGTCCCGTCGTTCACGGTCAGCACGAAGGTGGAGAACACGGGCTTGGGCGACGCGGCCACCTTCGGCCACAGCTCCAGCGTCGCGCCCATCGGCAGGCAGAACAGCGGCACGGAGTCGTTGAACGCCATGTTCCGCCGTTCCGTCATTGGATACCTAAAATCGTAAACGACAATACGTGTTACCCGCACGCGCTCGGAAACGTTTCTCTTGCTTTCAAAAAACGAACACGGAAAGTTTGCCATTCATGGACCGTGCGATTAATCCATTACTGTCCACTTCTGTGAACTTTTAAATTTATCTACTAACAATGGACTATGCAAACAGGAAAAATAAAAACTCACATAGCCAACTGCTCAGTGTTCGCAATGGCGAAAATTAAAATACCTACCAGTACCGTTTACTAATTAAAAAAAAATACATAAACGTGGTAAACTAAAGCGATTTGGTATTATTTTTTTTTATGTATTTTTGTTGCGAAAGTTAGTCCTATAGAACTAGCACGACAGGACACAGCTAGCGCGAGAGCGACATGAAGCGCAAGATAATGCTATTCTCGCGCAAGTCGCACCTAGTCGTGCTAACCCTACTAGTGAGGAGAGCGATAACGAAAATACAGTAATGGATAGTACTCTGTCTGTATATGAAAACTTATGAAATTTTCTTGCACTGGAGAACCACATGAATTACACTATCAGAAGTTCAATAGACTACTACTACTGTGCCTGGAAAACCATCAAATATTACTTTGATATTAATTAATATTTTTATTTTTAGTTTTTCTATTAAACATCTTCCTGTCGAGTGTTTTATTATTTCGTCAGAATGTTTGAGAAAAGCACTATATAAGCCTCGACGGGAACGAGGATTGCTTGATTCGTATTAATACAGGGCCTCGCTCTCGTCCAGCAATCCCTTACTTCTCGGCCTCAGCAATAATGCACTATTTGTTTTTTGTGAAGATACTCTACTATTTTTTATTATTATTGATACAAAGGTCGAACAAACAAAAAGAAAAATACCTTCGATCCGCTGTACTCGAACCGGCGGCTGAACAAATACTGAACTTCAGATCGAGTCAGCGGACCTTACCCTACGAATTTCTCTACATGTATACAATTATGTATATAGGAAACCAAAATAATCTCCATTGGCCGTATCAGCTTTTCTGACACAGCCAATAAAGTTTAATAACACTAGAAATAAGCTGATGCGTGTTCAAAAATCCACTTATGTAACCAATGTGTCCTGCCCACCAGTTGTGCACTGTGCAATTTATAAATTTGCCTAATTGGACGTTTTTGCTGGACAAAAATTCTAAAGGCTCACAACCTTTGTAAAACGTGTAAAGACGTATTTGGTAAGCATGGCGCACAACGACGAACACCAAATGCTTAGAGAAGAAGATACACGTTATCTGCACTATGTCATAACAGGATGACAATTATAAATTAATATGAATAATTGAGTAATGGTTTAACCACTATAGGAGCCTTCGCTCCTCTTCCTTCTCTCTCTCTCAAAAGAGACGCATGGCAAAGACGTATGTGTTGCTAAAAATTTAAAACCAGTCCCTCTACATTTCAATGGCTTTCTAAAACAGTGGCCTTGCTCAAAAGCCTCTAATTTATCAAAAAGATGGATTAAAAACACTTAGGCGTGTCTGACGAATGAAAAGCTTGGTCTCCCATTCACAATAAAATTGAGCATTTTCTCAGAAATCTCAGTAATAAGTAAAACAAGGTCCTATTTTGGATTGGGCCACTATTTTCAAAAAGCAGCGATTCGTTAAGAGCGTTTCAAGTGAAACTGAGCATGAAGTAATGTGTGAATTGGAATCTAATTGGCGTAACTTTCACCGAACACGAATTAGCATCTTCACTTAGAATTAAGGCTATTACTGTTCAATTCGACTAACTGTTGGTGGTAGAAGAAGTTTAAAATTATTGTTATCCATGTAACCAGTTTCCATGTACATGGTTTACTAAAACCCATTGACCTGTTTGGCACTCTCAATTTATTTCTAACTGTGTTTATAAATAATATCAATTTACAATGATACATAGAGTTTCTTATTTATTCTTCTCAGTGGAGCCTGTCTTGAGAATGAGTAGAGTAGTTTTTAATCAATTTGTCGATGTCAAGTGTAATTTGCTTACCTATGACATAAACATATTATGAATTTGAATTTCCCATGACGACCTCAATAAAAATCATTTCGTTCCATACATTTGTATAGCACATAAATGTTTTTTTGAGAATTTGGGAAATAGGTTAAGCAAGTGTGCAATCATCGCTCATTTTGCCTCTAACTAAAATAAACAAAGTATATATGTAAATATCGGGCACTTTAAAAAAGAATTAATGATAGTAAATGAAATTAAAAAATATATTGTACCTATATATTATAAGAAATGTATAAATTACAGACTGAAATGTTACTTTTAACCCTATAATTATAGTGTTAAACATTTATGCTATTAAGAGAAATTAACTATCACTTTATGAATCACCTATTTTTATAAACTGAATTTAACGTACAGTCAAGGGCACATCAAGCTTCATACTTTGCACTTTGAACCGATCTTATTGCAAGCGACATAAGTTCAATTTATGATAAGCTTGACCCTGTATTTTTTTCACTTTACAAATTACTACCTTGGTTCAGAAATTTGCTTACCTGTAATTGGGGTGCAAGCGAGAACAATGCAACGTATAATCTTTAGCGCAATCAGTTTGCACTAAAGATTACACATGTTGGTTTGCAAAATATCTATTGTCTAATAAGAATATATCTTACCTAAATAATACTTCTGGCTTAAAAGCGATAAGGGGCGGTCGGTTCATTGACTTTTTGTAGCAGAGAAACACGTCGCTTCCCATTAGGCCTGCAATTTAAAATAAATTATCATTTGGATAGCTTACAAGTCTTATACTTTAGTTAAAAACGTAAGCTAAGAAATAGGACTTTGGTTAAAACACTTCCGACAATACTGTACTAGTTATGAGGAACAAAATTTCAGTTAAACATCTTCAGGTCGTAAATCGCACAGAGTCTAAAAACAAAGGCATTTAACCTGCGTGAAACACACAAAGAACGGGTGCGGGTCGGGTGCGGGTCGGGCACGAGTCGGGTCGGGACCGCGGCGGGTCTAATTCCGTGTATTTACATGGACGACAACACATTGCGCACGGGCGCGGAGCGTGAAACACACTGACAGCGGGTGCGGGTCGGGCGCGTGTCGGGTCGGCAGCACGGCGGGTGTAATTCCATAAATTTATATGGACGACAGTCAGTTCTCGTTGTGTTTAATGCTTAACAACAGTGCCTCTACCATGAGATTACAGTGACAGTGATCGCTAGCGACAGTGTAAAAGTGCGCTAAAGGCGCTACATAATTTGCCATACTTTGTGAAGTAATTTCCGCGGTCGCTAGTTACAACTGTGAGAGTAAACTCGTGGTAGAGGCGTGGTACAAGTCTCATCCACAAATTCAAAGTCGCTCAGCGTGAGATGGGGCAAGCTATGCTTGTCGGTTTTCTATCGGATACATTTCGGGGAGTGTGCGCAGGAACTTTTCAATTTAGTTCCACCCTCACCATTCCTCCTTCGAGCGACTAGAAGGTCCGGAGCACTCCATTCTTATGTCACTGATATTCCACCTATTCGCACAAAGCGCTTTGCTTCCTCCTTTCTCATTTGTATGGCAAAGGAATGGAATGCTCTACATTTGTATTTCCCGAAAAGTACAATTTGGGGCTATTCAAGGATAGAGTGAATAGGCATTTTTTAGGCATACGCGTCCCATCGTCGGTCACATCGTCGCTTAACATCAGATGAGATTGTGGCCAAGCGTATGTCCATTGAATATTAAAAAAAAGGGAGCGAATTCCTAATGAAGTCATACGTCAGAGAACAAAGTGACCGACATAGCTTGCAAAATCAATAAACTTAAGTGGCAGTGGGCCGGACATGTCTGCAGGAAAGCTGATGGCCGATACATAAGACTTGTTTTAGAGTGGCCGCCAGAGGCTGGATGCGGGCGGCACAGGACCGGGAGTGTTGGCGTCGCAAGTTAATGTTGATGAGTCACAGATGGTGCGAACCACGTGCGAATACATTGGGAGAAATCTCGTGATCGCGCAGACTGAACGCCTAACTTCGACCACATCCTTACACATTAACAAATGTTACAATTAATATTTCAACGCATTCACTGCCGGCAATGCACATATGCCTTCACCTGACTTTCACCTGGTGCCTTGAACACCAGTGTGAGTTCGTAATAATGCTGCTATGTTCCGCTACTATCTTTTGGATTGTGCTAGGATTTGTATATAACTAAAACATTTAAATTTATTTTCTTTCTTTTGTACAAGTAAATCAAAATCCCTATTGTTAGTGGTACTGGTTTATAACGCACATGTTCAAACTCACCACATGTGCGTTTGAGGCACTGAGCGAAGATTTTGGCGAAATTCGAAAAACAAAAAACTAATATGAATGATAAGACACGTATCGGTCGGCGGTTCTTGAACCTGCGTCTCTGGCTCGGTCAACAGCGCCGGGGAACACCGCCTCTAATATTTAAAAATTCAAAAATTTATCTTTAAACCCACGGGAGAAGTGAGAGTTTAAAATAGGTACCTACCTAAAAGTATAATAAAAATAAGCACATTCACAAAAAGTTGAATAGAGTATATATATTCAGGAAAAATGCTGATTTTCAGGTCCCACCTTAATAGAAAATTCTTACCTTAATAAGAAATCAAATTTCAAGTCGACATACCAACCTTTGTTTAAATTCTTGGCGATCATACAGAACGCATGCGGCGGGCATTCCCCCTTACTTGTGACCACGACGCAAATGTCGACTACGACTAAGGCGTTGCATGGGGCACTGGGGTGAGCCCGCCTGTATGTTATAAATGTCTTCGCCGTAGAGTTGTTGACGTTCGCCAACCGCTCACCGACAGACATGAGCACCATTTCCGCGTCTGCCATAAGTCGCTCCTTCCCCTCGTACATGACCCCTGTGCATAAAAAATCACATTGAGGCGTTTGTTGTTAGACAGGATCTGCGCTTTACTGCCTATTCATTGTCAACGCATTATATCTCCCTCTAATAATAACGCACACACTCATAGCCCCCAACTGGGGAAACCCTGGGTCGCGAGTGCCGTGGACACACATATATAGACAACCACAAATTACACCCAAACTCACGAGGAAATAAATGTAGACCATACAAATAATTCTCCGGGACGTCTGCGTGGCAAACCAGCACGGTAACCGGAGGCGGTTAGGGGAGGGTTTATGTCATAGCCACACTCACAAGTTTTTTAGGGTTGAGAACCGACTTATTCGACGTGAAAGAGGTATTGCGTACGTAACATAGAAATTAAAGTCTGAATTCACAGAGATTTGAACCTATGAATTGAAAACCACCACTTTATTCTTCTCCGCCTCCCCGCGCTTCTTCTATTCTAAGTTGTGTCGCAGTAAAATTTATAAGCTGTCTCAGGCAATCGGCTAAGACGTGCTATTTGGCAACTAGGAGCATAGAAACAAAACTTATTTTGTAACATTACTCTTTCAGTTCGGCTTATAATTATACTACTTAAAGTTTGTTCCAATCCAGTTCATTCCAATTTTATTAAAAGCCGAGTATTCACGTATATAACGCAGTCACTAATTCACCTAAACCATCTGATTGGTGTTATTTATTTCCCATTCGATTTCTCTGTGATAAAAGCCTTGTAATTGGTCTGTTTCAATTTCCTAGTGCATTTTTTTAATGCAAATGGGCAAATACAAATATCCTCAAGGCCCAATTTTGCAGACAACGAAAATGGTCCGTCTCTTCGGAACGACCAGTTTTCCATGCATAAAATCAACTAACTGTGGTCTTACAACTAAAGCACTCTACCGTGTAATTAAGTGAGATAAAAACGATAACAAAAACGCATTTCAGAAGCAATGATTTATGGTCATTGTATGAACCAGTTTATTGGACATCAGCATATTATCTTAGTAGCAAATGTACCGAGGGTGGAATATCAGACTGCAAACTTTTAGGAATGGTTTTGTTCGGTATCACAAACAGAATTGGTTTTAATTCGAAACAAGTAAAATTAAATTAAATTTATATAAAAAATGTTTCATAGTAACTAAATAATTTAACAATTGTTATATATCGAGCCATTACCGCCGAGTTAAAGTAAGCGACAAAAAACAAATTGTAAAGATTTTGTTTTTTTATATTTCTACAGCATTTTTTTAAACAATGGATGTTAAGCCTTCTTCGGCGCTTACACTATTTTTGTTATCTCTATCTAAAGATTTTTAAGGCTTTCAGGCGTTTAAGGTAACACTTGCGATTAAAAGTGTACAATGTTTTCCATCCGTTACTCTCATCTCTGGACTGTATTCGCACTTTCCATCAGCCGCGGTGCAGTGATTTTGTCGAGTCACAATAAAAAAAAAAAAAAGAAGAAGGTGTAACAGGTTTTTTGCCGCTTTGTTTATAGTAAACAACGAAATTATAATAGTGATAGATAGATAAACACTTTATTGGTCACACACAGGAACAATAATAGTACATAAACAACTTAAAACTAATGTGGGCAAAGGCGGTCTCATCGCTAAGAGCGATCTCTTCCAGACAACCTTAGAGTTACAGGTAAGCTAATCGGAGCGGGAGACGTAGTGTGCCAATTTTACAAATATAAAAATATAAATATAAAAAAATAAATTGTATAAATTAAAAAAAAAAATACAAAATAAAAAAAATAAATAAAGACACATAGTAATTTATACAATATTTAATAAATAATGATATATTATGCCTAAGTAGATATATGTATATATAAATATACCTAAATAAACTTATACTTACTGATAACTTATACTTACTAATACACACGTTGCAAACTAGGACTGTGATAAAAGAAATTTACGCAATCTGGTTTTGAAAGTAGGTAGCGACTTAGAATGTCGGATTTCAAATAGGAGATCGTTCCACAATTTTGCAGCCTTAATCGTAAAGGAATCTTTGTAATACTCAGAGCGAGTGAAAGGAGGCTTCAGGTTATCCATTTTAGACCTTAGTTCATGGTTGTGATCATCCCCGAGGAAGCGAAAACGAACCTTAAGGTATGGCGGAGTACGAGGATCGTATAGAACATTATAAAGAAAGCTGAGAACGTGCTCCTCACGGCGCAACTTGATAGGGAGCCACTGAAGCCTTCTCCTAAATTCGGCCACATGATCGAACTTGCGCAATCCGTATATGAATCTGATGCAAAGATTCTGTAGACGCTGGAGTTTGCTTAACAGATCCTCATTAAGGTCAATGAAACAGACATCAGCGTAATCAAGAATAGGCAAGAGCAACGATTGCGCAAGTTCAACCCTAGTCCTCACAGGAAGCAGATTTTTCCAACGCCGCATTGACCCAGAGGCAGCAAACATCCTCCTACTCACCTCAGCGATATGTGGCGACCAAGACAGAGTGGAGTCAAAAAGAACGCCAAGATATTTAACAACATTACTGTAAGGCAGAGAGATGGAAGGAGTTGAAGAAAGGCGGGGGAATAGTGGCATTATTTAATTTGGCGATTTGCTTCGAGCTTCCAACGACGATGGCCTGTGACTTGTTAGGATTGACCGTAAGGTCATGGGTTCGACTCCAATCGTGTATGGTCGCGAGATCGTCATTAAGTTCGGCGATTAAATTGTGACTCATATAATAGTGATAATGTCGGTTGCGATAACAGCGGGGTCGTTTACGTTATGATTTTTAATATTGATTCTGTTGGTTACACTAAAATTTAAAAACAGTTGAGCTAACGATAAACTTAGCTTTCGTTATAATTTCTATTTCATGTAATTTTGGCGGGAAATGTTGACGCGTCCTTGTCGGTTATGGTTTAAAATATCATTTACAATAAAAACCGCTGCTTAGATAAAAATGACGCTTACGATAAGTCGGGTCGGCGATCATGACACGATATAATAAAGTGATTTTGTTAATTAATCAATGTATTTTGCACTTAGTCTGAATTTTTTTTAATTTATTTTGGCACAGTTACAAGATACAAGTAAAATTATGACACTGACCAGAAACAAACAAATTTGTAGCTCAATAACAACCGCGCACGTCATGCAAATGACATTTTTCAACTTAATGAATATGGCTAACTAAGTCTACAGAAAATGTGTACATACTTTAAATAAAATTACTTCACTCTGTGATGTGTTCACGTGCCTTCTCTTTTTAGAAATGTGTTGGTGCTCTGGTGGAATACATCAAGACCTTTACATAAAGCATTATACTGCCTGCATAAACGTATGAGAAGGCTGTTATGTGACACATTATTTTTTGCAGAAGGCGCCAAAAACAAATGTTGCCTACGGTTACACCTATTAGTGACCTTTAGTGAAATATGGCTTATGATATCAGTATCTAATTTGGAATTTACTATTTTGTGCAACATCAGGAGGTCAGTTACTTGCCGTCTCACGCAAAAGCGAATCTAGTTTGAATCGGTTAAGCCTATTTGTATATGTTACTAATTTTTTTCTTAATCCCAATTTTGAAGCAAGACTACGAACAAAGCGTTTCTGTATCGTCTCTATCCTGTTGATATGATTGTTATAAACAGGTGACCATATTATGCTGCAGTACTATAGTATACTTCTCTCAAGACCCACATACAGAATAATCATACTTCGTGTTTGCTTGAAAGGTTTTGTAACTCTATGTAGGAAATCCATAGTCCGCCTCGCTTTTAAAATCATTGAATCGAAGTGTACTCTAAAGGAAAGCTTCGAGTCAAACCAAACGCTTAGATCACGTACTACATTCACACGTTCCAGTTGAACTCCACGTAGCATATACTCAGGCGGGATGTAATTCTTCTTTTTCGTAAATGTGATAAATTAGCATTTGGCTACGTTAAGGAACATATTGTTTTCCACACACCAACTAGTGCGTCGCAATCATCAGTAGAATGTATTCTGCGAAAATTTTTTATGTCGCCTGCAAAGGCTAGGCACTCACACTTGAACTGACTCAGAAGGTCATTTATAAACATCAGAAAGAGTAAGGGATCGAGGTTTGATCCCTGCGGAACGCCAGAATCCGCAACAAACGGAGCTGACTCAAAACCATAAACTGTTACAAGTTGAGTACTATTTTGCAGATATGAATGAAGCCACCTCCAGAAGTGAACCATGAATTCCTAAGCGCTTAGCTTTAATACAAAGTATGGCATGATCAATGCGATCAAATGCTTTCGCAAAATCAGTGTAAACTGCATCTACCTGTCCAGATTGATTGAATGAACAGTTATGTATATCTCAATTCAGAGGTCGACGATGCGAATCCCTGTGACGGCATATCTAGAGCTAGCACAATAGGGCGCGACTTGCGCGAGAGCGACATAAAGCGCGAGATACGACTATTCTCGCATAGCGATCCCGGCTTTAGGCTGCCTTTCCACCAGAGATGTGCGACGTAGCGAGGCGGTGTGCGAGGAAAAATCCACCAATAGGATTACTTCATTTTCCTAGCCTCGCTTAGCGTAGCTCCGGCGGAAAAGGGTTAGCGGAGCTAAGTATTTGTACATACAAAGTAGCGAGAGATGTGTGTGAGAGATTCGGGCGAGGAATGTGTGCAAAATGTTGTAGGAAACTTGAGCTATTGAAAGTATGACACTAACTGACACTGACACTTCGCCACTGCTCACCCCGCCACACTGTACCCCGCCCGCGCATGGCTGAAAAGAGTCCGTAACGCATTCTCGTACCACGCCGCTGCACATCCTCACACCGTCTAGCTACATCGCACTACTATGGCGGAAAGGTAGCCTTCTGTCGCTCTCCCACAAGGCGCGCCCTATCGTGCTAGCCCTACTGTGAAAGAAATAAAGACCAAATGACACGGTTGCAGAAGCGTCATGTGAAATCTATGTTCTTGCCACACACATGATAATATAGGAGTGTTTCACTGGTGTAGGCTCAGACTACACTATCGCATAAACGTATTTCGCTTCCTCCAAATGCAAAGTTTTCATATACGCCCGTTCGTTTTTAATAGTTTTGATCTGGCCTTTTTTAAGGACTCCACCAACTGATTGAGAGAAGTATATAAAGTACGCTTTATGAATTTGCAAAAAAATCCATTGTTTCCCTGAGATAATTTAGTTTAAAAATGATGTGGCAACTCTGACACAGAATTGTCAGTTCAATGACACCTATCAAAATTCGGTACGCCGTCAGTCGTGGTTTGGGTGATCACACCCCTTGGTCACATTTTCTTTGAATGTCCTAAG